GAAGTATGATGATGTACAAAAAAAAAAAAAAAAAGGAGCTGGCATGTTGGTCAGTCTCCCAGGGAGAATCCATCCACTTCTTCAACCGAAGCCTCTAGTTAACTTGCAGCCACAGTCTGCTGAAATGTTCTCTCCACCTTGCTGGTGACATTATAAGTTTTCAGTAGTGGGTGAGTGTTTTTAACCCAAAGAAATTTTGGAATAGATTACAAAGACTGAGTAAACCGAATCTAAATTACTAACACTTTTAAGTTAAAAAATAGTGTCCTTTTTAAATCATTAAGACAATCTTTATATATTTGGTATTTAAAACGTTTGCAAATTTAAGGAAATATAGTTTATTAAGGTATCAGACAGGTTAGTCTTCTGACATCAATTTAAATGAGTAATTCAGTAATTAATTTTAGATTCCTGATGTTAAGTCAAAAGGTATAAACAGTATTGGAATGCTTAACTGAACTTAAGAATCATCATCTTTAGAAGTTTAATTTACTACCTTTACTTGGGGTAGTTTAAGTATATGGGAAGGTTGTTCCTGCTAGAGAAATTTAAAGGCTTTTAAAAAGAAAATTGAATATATTGAATTGATGAAAGCAATGTACAATATTTAAAGGAAGTTTATTAACTAGATTTGTTAGTTGAATTGATTGATTAAGGGAGGTTGGTCGATTCAACTGGAAGAAACACAAATCAAAGGCCCTCTTGAAAGTGCTTGTTAAAATTTCTAGCTTTAAAAGTAAAATAAGATTTGTAAATTTATTCATTTAACATATTTACTGAGTGTCTGCTATGTGTTGGGCGCTATTCTGGATGCTAGAAATATAGCAATGAACAAAAAGAGGGCAAAAAAAATATCTTTATGGGGCCTACATTCATTAAACTTAAGAGCTTTAGGAAAAACCTGTTATTAAATGTTTTGCTTTAGGGGCCAGCCCAGTGGTATAGCAGTTGAGTTCACGAGCTCCACTTTGGCAGCCCGGGATTCACAGGTTCGGATCCTGGGCTCGGACGTGGACCTACTCACTGCTCATCAAGCCACACTGTGGCAGTGTCCCATATAGAAGAGCTACAGCTCTACAACTATCATACACAACTATGTACTGATGCTTTGGGGAGAAAAAAGAAAAAGAGGAAGATTGGCAATGGATGTTAGCTCAGGGCCAATCTTGTTCAAAAAAAAAAAATTAAATAAATAATGAAAAATATAAACCCTCTAGAGCTGATGATATCTAATAACTAAAAACATGTTTTGCTTTAATACAGTGGATATTAATTTTAAAATAAGTTAGCTATAGTCTCTTCATTTGCACAAAATTTCCCCTAAGGGATACCGAAAATTCACATTGACAACTGTCTCCATTCATCCTTGTATCTGTAGTTCCTAGCTCACATACAACTCTCAAAATCATGTGGCTTGAGTGTTGAATCTTCTCCTATATTGTCTTTCACATCATTCGCAAGAAATCTGAGTTAATCAGGATTCTTTCTTAAAATGCAAAAGTCTCCAAGCTAGGAGCTAGGAGATATTTACAGCTTCATGTAATTCAATCAGATTGTGTCTCTCCTAACATCTGAGTTAAGGAATAAACTTTCTAATGGAGGAAAGAGAGGAACATAACTTGGGAGATGGAAGTATTTGTGCAGAAAAGGGAAATCTCTGGATTGGGGACATATTCAAGTGTAGGGCTAGGAGTCCTCAGGGCAGTCGGGAGGTTGACGGAACTGGGTGAGGGGTATAGAAAGAGTGGTGGAAAAATGCAAGGAATTCTCAACTATTTCAAAAACAGCCTCCACCCAGGAAAGAGAAAGAGCCTCTTTTTTGCTTTCCAAGGTGATTATCTGTTCTGCAAATCCAAAAGTCAAAATTGCTTTGTTAGAAAGTTCCAATTGGGTAAATAAAGCTTTTGCAAAATGCAAAAGAAATTCAAACATTGTTTCCATAGGAAAATATTTCCCAGGTCTGATAAGAACAGATAGTACACTTGATCTTAGCCAAAAGGCCAAGAAGCGATGTATTCCTGTTCTAAACAGCCCACTTACAACCAGTCTATTGAAACATAACCTATTTGTAAATTGATCATTATTTTGATAACCAAAAATCACACCCAAGGCAGTCTCAGAAAACCGCAGAGAATCTACAGAAGCCCAGCAGTAACCTAAAATACAGGTTTCCCAAGGCAAGCCTGAAGCTAAGAACTCACTCAGTTTTGCAACCCATACCCATTTTTCACCTTCCCCTATCCCAGCAGTCACAGTTCACATATTCCAAAGCTGCTGGCAATGCTGGTGGCCCCTGTCACAGCTCCTCCTCTACCAGTCGGCTGACCCCAATAATTGTGGCTAATTGCAAATTCCCCACACCGACATTTAGGGACCAAGTAAAGAGCAGGAAGATGATTTGGGGGCAGAATTGTATTGTAACTGAGAGTTAACTCCGCAAGCACTAAAATCTGAAAGAACTAGGTTTAAATCCTAACTACTACTGCCCAGCTGGATGACCATTGGCAGGTCACTTCAACTCTGCACCTGTTTCCTCATCAGTAAAATGGGGATTATAATAATACCCACCTCGTGGAGTTTCTGAGACAACGCATGTACAACATCGTGCCTGACATATAGTGAGCGCTCAGACTTACACTTGTACATGGGCTCCCTAATTCACAGCAAGTGAACAAACAGAAAAGCATTTCATATCTGCTGCTTCCACAAGCCATAAATGTGAACAGTAATTACCACTATCTTGGTTGGCTTAGGTAACTTATACCTTTTTCAACATCAAAGAAACCAAGAAATAACCCACCTCCTATTTGGGCTCTTGAGATGCTGGAATGAGTTACAGGCCCATCAACACTGTTCCAATAGTTGACAAGGATTTGGCTTTAATCTGGTGAATGAAAATTTCATGAAAATAGTTATAGAAGAGTTATGATGAAAAAGTGCAAGGCTCTAAACGATGGATTTCAAAATATCAGTGCCTTTTCAGACATTCAGTCCCATACTGGACCAGAATACCACGGACAATAATTCCTTCAGAAAATGATTTTTCTAAGTAGATCCATATAAACCAGGCTGAGTGATTAAGGGGAAAAATGAGTTTAATAATACAGTATTAGATTGAGTATCATCCAGGAAAAGTATACTGTAAAAAATGTTTTGAATATTGATTGACCTCTAGTAACTTTAGTGTTGAAAATACTTGTATTATAGTGAGGTAGACAGTTAAAAAAAAAAAACTCTCCATTAGACAGACTTAAAATTTTGTAATAATATTTAAGAAAATGATAACATTATGAAAGAATGAAATATCTGATTAATGCTTAACTTTGTACAACTCGAATATAAACTTTAAAAATATTAGAAATTGTAACATTTGAGTGCATATAACGTTTGTACATTAAGATGAATTGCATGCTGTCCGTTTCCTCTTTGCACTTTCAGTCACCTTAAATAAACAAATATATACAGCCTTAACAGAACGACAGTGCATCCACAGCAAATGTGCATTTTAAATTATTTCTCCTGGCCAAGTCTTTGTTTTTACTTAGCATTTTATATTAGCATTTATTATCATTCTCACCCTTTTTTTGGACAGTTTCTAGTTCTCTGAACCAAACAAGCAACAGGTTAAGATGGAGAGAGAACAAAACTACTTAGCAGAAACAAAAACCTTTTTTAATGGTTGGTGCAAGTTCCCTTGTTTAAACCATTTCATGGTCAAAGATGAGAAGGAAGCTAACTCTTCAAGGGCCTACTTATGGGCAGTGTTTGACAATAATACTGGTGCAGGCTGGGAGAAAGTTCATGTTTTTGACAATCTGGGAGTGGGTATTTAAATTGTGCTGTGCTCTCTCCTGCTTCCTTCCGGAAGATGAATTCCACTGCTGCCTTCTTCCTCACTGCCCTTCCCCACCTCCCACCCCAAGCTCAATGTAACACTTTGCTCTTTTCACAGTTTCTCATTACCAAGTTTTAAAAACATTGCCTAACTGGTAATTACAATCTGAAACAATTCTTTTGGGGGAGCCCTGGGCTATTGCTGGCTGGTAATCTTTCAGGAATGTCAGAGAGAGGGGAGGGAACATAGATTTTAAAGAAACTTCGGAGACAGGGACTTGTGTCCCCTTTCATCCTTCTCTCCCCTGTAGCTGGCCTGCCCCCGTTTCCCGTCCTTGTCCTTCCGTCGGGCCCACCACCTCCATTCCTGACTCCACCCTTCTGTTTCCCCTCCAGTGCCCCGCTTACCTTCCTCACATAGCTCTCCATCCCTACCCATTTTTTAACTGGGAAATCACCTTCCCCTTAAAAGGGGATGTCTGCAGTTTGGCAAATTCTGTTCAAAGAAATCAATTAGAAACAGACATCACCGAGGGCTTTTTGTGGGTTCCCTCCAGTTGGGGCTAATGCACCTCAGTGTCAGCCCCTCAGAGGCAGGCCTTGTGGTTTCTCATTACGCTTCAGGGGGTTCCATTTGGACTCATTCTTGTCATTCCATCCATACCAGCTCCCTTTCTCCCAGCGGAAAGAGCAACAGTCAAGGCAGCGACCTGAGCACCCCAGTTAGATGCAGGTTGCCAGTTCCCTCTCCTGAGAGAGGCCAGAGCAGAGCTGGTTACCAGAGCCAGCCAAGGCCCACTGGGGCCTACCTCTCAAAGCTCTTCTAAAGGCAGGGCTCTGCTGGTTCTCCTATTCCCAGTGCCAATTCCTCTATTTTAACACTTTTTGCTTGGGAGGTCACAAGGCATGGTTTATGACATGGCCAGAAAGACCCCACCTTCTTTACACAGGTAGAAAACAATCAAAGCAAAAGGCGATCAAAGGTGATTCTTCCTCTCACACTGTTTCCCTTCTTAAACTATTATTTTTTCAATCCATGGAGCAGTTGAGAAACAGGTATGAGTCTCCCCTTCCCCCACCTCCTATCAAAACCTGCGAGACACACAAGGAAATCCAAAGCCACAACAATAAAGAAAAAAACTAAACAAATCCTCCTTGGCTTGCTCTTCAAAGGTGGCCAGGCAAGGTGTGGAAATCCGTATCTCCCTCTGGGCTGGCAGGTGGAAGGTTCTGGGAAGGCTGAGCTCCCTCCGCTCCCACTTGGCTGCATGTCCAGGCTGTTCCCCCACCCTCCGCCTCCTCCAAGGCCAGCTCCTCCTCCGCCTCTCTGCAGTCAGGCCTCCCCCGCAGTCCCGGGCCAAGGCGGCTGGAAAGGCGCCGCTACCTGCAGCCGCAGGCCTCCACCACCATGTCCTCATACTGCTTGTAGACCACGTTATTGCCCGCGTCGATGTACAGGATGCTGATGGGAGTCAATTTGGTGGGCACGCAGCAGCTGGGCGGGGTGGAGCCGGGGTCCATGGAGTTCATCAGCGTCTGGATGATGGCGTGGTTGGTGGGCTCCAGGTGCGAGCGCAGCGGGAAGTCGCACACGCCTTCGCAGTGGTAGGCCTCATACTCCAGGGGCGCGATAATCCAGTCGTCCCAGCCCAGCTCCTTGAAGTTCACGTGCAGGGGCTTCTTGCTGCAGCGCAGCCTCGACTTCTTGCCATGCCGCTTGCCGTGGCGGCTAGCGAAGGCCGTGCGCCGCCGCCGGCGGCCGGGCGAGGGCAGCCAAGGCCCTGCGTCCGGGGTGCCCGACGGCGGCGGCCAGGACCCCTCGGCGCCCGCGCCCGCAACCTCGGTGGAGCCCAGCTGCTCGCGCATCTCGGCGAACAGGTTCTTGCGCTGGGATCTGGTGAACACGACGAGCAGGGCGCGCTCCTGGGGGGGCCGCACCCTCCGGCTGAAGCCCAGACTCCGCAGGTCCGGGGGCGGCGGCGGCTGCTGGGGCCCCGGCGCGAGCGCCTCGGCCTCCCCGGCTCCCGGCTCGCCCCACGAGGCCCGCAGCTCCAAGCACAGCTGCTTCCAAGGCTGGTGGCGCAGGCCCTGCCACACGTCGAAGACTTCCCAGCCGGCCCGGGGCGCCCCCTGCGGGTCCAAGGTCCGCGCGTCCAGCTGCAGGGGCGACAGGCAGGGGAAGAGCTGCACGTGGAGTGGCCCGGCCGGCGGCCCCCAGGGCACTGCGGGCGCCTGGCGAAAGAGCCGCAGCTCCGCGCCCACCAGCTCTTCTTTGTCTGAGAGCGTGGACACATCAAACAGATACTTCTGTCTCCGAAGAGGAGTGTGCGAGAGATCGTCTGCGAGATAAAAAATAATTACAGTCAGTTTCACTTAAGGGGGAGATCAGCCCGGTGCTCTGCGGCCGCCCCCGGGAGGAAAAGGGTGGGGGGCTGGGCAGGCGGGCCGGGAGGCCAGCTCGGCCAGCCCGGGGCCTGACCACCCGGCTCCCCTCCTGGCCGGTTCACGGCGAGGGGAGGGGGCCACCAGCCCGGGACTCCCAGCGCCGAAGTCGGTGGCTGCTGGAGAGGCGGCCGCGGCGGCGGCCTCCCGGGTTTTCCCCCAGGATCCTGCGTAACCGCTAATGTGCCCTTTGTGGTCGCCAGCCTGGGCCTCGCTGCCCCCAGACCTCCTCTGGGCTGGCTCATTCTCATCATTCATGTCTCGGTTCAAACGTCACCTACTCCGAGAGGCCATCCTCGACCACCCTGAGCTAAAGTAGCCTCCCTCGGTCACTATCGCAGGACCCTGGTTTATTGTCTTCCCGGCACTTAGCACTATCTACTATGACCTCGCTTATATTTGTCTCCTTAGTGGTCTGTCTTTCCCAACAAGACCCCGCCCCCCTCCACCGGCCCATAGGAGCTGGGACCACGGCATGTCCATCTTGCTCACCACAGCGCCTACAGCCCTGCCTGACCTAAAGTACATGCTGGTCAATAAGTGAGAAACTTCTAGAGCAATCATTCTCAATCTGGCTGACTGTTATAATCATCTGGAGAACTTAGGAATTATCAGGGCTTACTTAAGCCAATTGAATTAATATCTGAGGACAGAGCCAGGGTATTGGGTTTTTGTTAGCTTTTTTTTTTTTTTTTAAAGCTCCAAGATGATTTGATGGCGCAGCCCTAGTTTAGACCCACTAGTCTGGGGGGACGTTGCTGCCCATCAGGCAGTTTTCCTGAAGCATTTAGGGCCAACACAAAGCTGACAGAAGGAAGAGCTGCTGTGTGATTTCTTTCTTTCTTTTTTAAATTCACCAACCATTTACCCACAAACAAAAGAGGAATGAGGCTTTCAGAAGTCTGCAGGGGGGCAAATGAACAAAAACACACACACGAGGATCTATCTGCTGAGAAGATCCTGTAATCAATGAGAAACAAATACATCAATACGGAGAAAACCTCAGCCACAGACACACACACACTGAGCGATATTCTCCCCTTCTCCTACCACCCAATCTGAAATCTTGCTTTGCAACTAATCTTGAAGATAAAATTTTTGGTTACAATTGAGAAAAGAAATTTGGGGCACATGGGGGGGGTGGATAACAGGCTTTTAAAATCCAAGGCAAATTCTTTGGGACCAAGGCAAAACTGGACTTCTTTTTTGACACACTTGTGCGTGAAGCCAACCCCACTTCAATGTGCAAGGTGGAAAGCTAACCAGATTTTCCTGGGCTGCCTTCTCATAAAATATTTACAACCCAGCAAATACAAAAATCCCCAAAGCCCCCAGCTTTCCCCAGAAGCTAGTAAAGTTTGGGTCGATTTCAATAATAAAAGTGTCACTGGGTCCCCGTCTGACCCTCACTGCCTGTCCAGATGTAGCCCCAGGGCACTGGATCTGGAGCCTCAGCCACACCCAGTCCCCATTCTGGGCTCACCGCAGGCCCGGCTGCCTCACTCCGCTGCACAAGTCTCAACCTGAGAGGGAGCTGTGGGAAGGGTGAGAGAGGTGAAAAGGGAAAAGCTGCTGGAGGCAGCTGATTTATGGAAGCCAAGACCTTCAAACTGGCCAGGGTCACATTAAAATCAGTGGGAATTCAGCACACTTTCTTCTCCTCCTTTAAAGAAACCTGTGTCTGACAATGCTCAGCCACCACCCAGATCACTGGACTGAAGCCTTAGGCTTCACTTTCCTGCCTCTCATATTTCTCTCTCCCCAAACTAAGGATGTGATGAGACGGACAAACCCAAGGCACTCGCTGCACTAGCTAACTGTTGTGAGGACTGACATATGTTTCATCCTTAATTTATCCACCAGCACAGAACAGTTCTGTGAGGGAGGTAGTCATATCGTTTCCATTTTACAGATGGGAAAACCAAGGCTTGGAGAAATTAACTTAACTGCCAAAGTCTGACAGCTGATGAGCGGTGAAGTTGAGATCCAAACCTAGGTCTATCTAATTCCAGAGTTGGAGCATTTAGCCCCTAAGCCCCATTGCCTCACCATTATAATCCAGGTACTGGAGTCTAAAAGCAACTAGGAGTGCCCAGGGTATAAGGGAGGGGGGATACAGTCCAAACTGTATTTGCAGGGCTTGCTAGGAATAACACCCAGGCTCCCTTAGGAAATCATTTCCATCTCTGCTTACATAACTCTTGAGGTAGTTTGTCACTGGCTGGAGAGCATTAGGCAGGTGTAAAGGATAATGATTTATTTCTCTTTCATGCAACATGGAGAGATCAGCCTGCTTTTGTTTTCATTCTTCTTTTTTTAAGTGTGGGCTGATAAATAGTCTGAGTCACATTTCTCTAGTCCTCAAGAGTGGTCAAAACGGAAGAAACCATCTTTAGAAAGAGGGCGCTACTGATTCTGCAGCCTTGGGATTTCTGATGATCTTTCTAGCAAGATCATCCCACTCAGTCTTTCCAGGGCTCAGGGAAAGAGTGCACATGGGAGCATCAGCCTGTATCCTGCTCCCTTCCCTTCCCATACCACCTCCACCCCACAATTTGAGGGCCTCACCCGCCTGCATGTGGACACACTTGCCCACAGGTCCAAGCTTCCCAGTCCTACAGGTGCACATGTCGGTGGTGTGACCCACTCTTAGGAGGACAGACCCAATGAAGAAGCTGCCCAGGCCCTGGAAGTGGGCTCAGAGCTATCTGGGCGAGAACTCTGTGGCCACAATAGAGTAGTAACTCTCGCAGCCACTAAACCTGCTGCAGTCCCTAAATCAGCATCATCAGCATCACACACGAACTTGTTAGAAATGCAAATTATCTCAGGCCCCAGAGGTTTGTGTTGGGGCCCAGAATTAGCATTTTGAATTAGTTCCCAGATGATGCCAATTCTGCTAGTGGAGGATCCCACTTTAAGAACCACTAATCTAGATGAGTGTGTCCCCTTGGCTCTTCAGATTCCCCATCATGTGGGGAGGGCAACACTGGAGGCAGGACAACACAAGGCCCTCCAAGCACAAGCCCCAGGGTGGGTCGAAGGCAGCACTCACCAGAACCAAGCCACTACGGCTCCCAGGCCCTTCCCACCCCCCCCACATTTTTTTCACTTTTTCAGCCACATGTACTCTCACTGGGTCTCCGGAACCTCTAACCTCTAAACAGAGGGTCCAAGAAGGTGGCCGCTCTGTACAGCTCCCCTACAGACCACATTCCCCACCTGTCTGGACCTGCTCTGGAGCTGTGCATCACAGAAATAGCCCAAAGGCATCCGACCTGGGGAGTGCACACACCACCACCCACTGTGACCCTGCAGACACTTTGCCTGCTGAGCTGGCATCACAAGGTCTGGCTCTGCTACTATGGCCGCCTGTGGTGTGTAGCTGGCCCTTCACACTCAGTTCTACAAGCCTGCTCTCCCATTAAGTCCTGTATAAATGAGGGCTGATGTCATCAAATGACCCTCTCTCCCATGCCCTTAACTAAAACGTGCACTTGCCATTTCAAAATCTGTTTGTGGCACTTTCTTACATCCTGGAAGCAAATCCTATGCTTTAGGCTTTTCAACTTAAATTGATCAGTAATACATCATGGGAACTTTTTACTTTGCTTTTAATTTGCATCAACCTGGTTTGTTACAGCTTAGCCTACACCCTAGTGAACTCAGTGTTTGTTGAATATTAGACATATAGACCTTTCAAGTTACAATTGCTGGATTTGTGCTTACCAACTTTCCCTGGCCTGTGGGCGGAGGAAGGAGGGGGAGGTGGGAAGGAGAAGGAGCAAACTAGCCGCATATTTGAAGAAAATTCTTCATAAATAGGTCAGCCTTTTTTGAGTTAAGAGCAAGTTAGTAAAGGCTGAGAGCAACTCAAACATGCACTTCTGGTGTGGAAATGATAAAAAAAAAAAAAAAGAAAAGAAGGGAACGAGAAAAAAAAAACTAGCCTCTTGCAAGGTAGGGACTATAGCGCCCATTTTAAATGACGAACCTGGGCCAGAAAGGTGAAGTCATCTGTGCAGGGTCACAGTCTGTGGCTGGAGGAAGCTAAGAAGCAAACACCAGATAGGATAGGAAAGGATGCCCCCGGCGCTAAAGACGGGACACCGGGCCCCTGAGCCCCAGAAGGGTGGGGTAAGGGAGGGACGCGCAGCGGCAGGAAACGCGCCTTAGCGGTCCACCTGCGCTCCTCTGGCCGGCGGCGGCTCCCGGGGCCACCCAGTAGTTTCTGAAACCCCGCAACTTGGTTTGGTTTGGGGCGGGAAGGGCCCGCACTGCCCTTTTTCCAAGACATCTCTGAGACATGCATGCAGCTTGAGGCCGCTCTTGGGAATCCTGGTTGGATTTCCGTCACTCGCCCGCCCGAGCGTGCTCCGGCTCTTCGCGCCGCGGGCCCTAGACTCCCCGGCGCTCCTCAGTGCGTCCTGCTCCCATCCTCTGAAGTCGCGGGGACCCTAGACGGCCACCCGCCAGGCGTCTGGCCTCCCCCGCCTCCACCCTCCGCCCCGCCCCGCGACCTGCCCCACGTCCTCCTCAGGCACATACCCTGGGACTAGGCAGCGGCTCAGAAAGCCGAGACGATAGTGGGCTTTCCCATCCCCACCCCACTAGGAGGGGAAGGGAGGGGCGGGGATAATTACCCATCTTTACAAAGGAAACTCCGGACGACTTTGCAGCTAAGCCTTTCCCCCACCCCCTCATTTTCGAGCCAACAGCAGCACTGAACGCTTCTGAGGCAGCCCTTGCGACAGGCACGTGCTAGGGGCTCTGACGGCCTCTGTCCCTGAATCCTCACCGTGAGCGTCCCAGGCCCGTCCTACTGTTATGCTCATCTATAGACGAGGAAACTGGGGCTCCACGAAGTGTCTTCACTTGCCCGTAGTCTTGCAACTAG